CGCTTGCGGGATATTGGGATACTTGGCCAAGGGCCGTGTGCAGGTAGCATGCAGTATTGCAACAAAAATACTTGCTTTGCGTGTCTGAAATACTGGAATACTGCGCCACAGCACCTCGGATACTGGAAATACTGTGAAATACTCCAACTCTCCTTGCCTGTACTCAAGGACCGGCCGCGGCAGAGACTGTGACAGACTCGCATTGTGTTGCCGTGATGAGACTGTTCTTCTACTCCAGGACCGGCCACGGGATGCTGACGGCGGGCGCGCCGAGAACTCGCTGTGGAGGCGCCTCTGCCCTCTCCCTCTACCCTCTTCCTCTCACCCTCTCACCCTCTCACCCTCTCACCCTCTCACCCTCTCACCCTCTCACCCTCTCACCCTCATCCCCCACCCCCACCCCCACCCCCACCCCCACCCCCACCCCCGCCCTTTACCCTTTACCCTTTACCCTTTACCCTTTGCCCTTTACCCTCTACCCTCTCCCTCTCCCTCTCGTCTCTGGTCTCTCCCCCACCGTTTTCCCCCCCCCCCCCCCTACCCCCCTCCCCCCCAGGCGGAACATCGAGCTCTCCACGTGGACCGTGCCGATGAACGGCCTGCTCGCGCTGCTGCAGTCGTCGCCCTCGACCCCTCTCTCCGACCCGCTACGCGGGTTCGAGAGGCGAGAGGCCCTTGATTGCCCGAGATCTCCGAGATCTCTCGCAGGGCTCGAGAGACCGGCAGCCGTGCCGTGATAGGTGCATAGCACCATGTAACCTTCCGGTGAGAGGTTGTACGCCACAAACTTGTCGTCCTCGCCTGAGCCGGTGGTGTTGCTGATCCAGTTGACGGCAGGATCTGTGGCGAGGTCGGCACTCTGCTCCCGGCAAATCGGTCTTCCGGCGAGTCGGCTCTTGCAGTCGCCGCCCTCGTCGCTGTGGCCGAGATGAAATCGCTCGATCGTGGACTGAAATGCCGCATAAAAGAAGCCGCGGTTGTCGACGAAGGCGTAGGAGCCATGGAACGTGGTTGTCTCCTGCCGGTCGAATTCTTGAAGGACCTCGAACGCTTCACCGCCGGGCTGCTTTCGAAGAGCATAGACAGTACCAAAGCCGGAGGTCCACCAGACGCCTTCCTGGTCCTTGACGACGCTCACGGAGTTTGCTCGGGCATAGATCTGCTGGATGGTCTCAGTCAGGTTGTCACCAGGAGTCCAAGTCATTCGGCTGACGACCATGTCTGCCGCTTCGTCCACCCGCACTGTGTGTGTGTGTGTGTGTGTGTGTGTGTGTGTGTGTGTGTGTGTGTGTGTGTGTGTGTGTGTGTGTGTGTGTGTGTGTGTGTGTGTGTGTGTGTGTGTGTGTGTGTGTGTGTGACGCGATCCACGCAGGCGTGTTTTCTGACGACCGACCGTGAGAGCACTGAGTTGCCCCTTCTCTCCGACTGCCGCCCTGGCCCACACTGCCCCGGCTCGTTCCCGAGGTCGTCGCACGTCGGGTGTGACCCACCTGCGTCCCCGCTCCCCCGCGCGACAAGCGACATCTCGTAAAGTAGCGCGGGTGGGTTGGAGGGGGCTCGCTGCAAGGAAAGGCTGTGGTAAGAAGCCGATCCCCGTAGTTTCAAAACCGTCTCCATTGTTGCTCCTGGGCCTTTCCGTTCGATATTTTTGTGCCGCATCTCCCTCGGGCCCAATAAAAGGCGCACAGCAGCAAGTTGCTCCGTCCTTGGGAGCAGCAATCTGAGTACCTGGGTTAGGCCGACTACACGGTGAGCCATACGGACCTTGCACAAAACCTTTTCCTTCTAAGCAGGGCTACACAATGAGCCTATAGTGTGGGGGTGTTGGTTCCTGGCGAGTTGTGATGAGTAGAATTAGACTAGCCAGTACTATTTTGAAGTTCATACATGAAAATACCAACTTGCCTGTGTGCACGTCTCCGCGGCGGCGGCCCGGAGGGGGCCCGGCGGAGCGGTCAGAGCAGCACTGCGCCGGCCGGCGAGCGACTCTCGACTATAGTACGGGCTCTATTGAATGGCCTCAAGGTGCTCTCTAGGACTGCCCTACTCCGCTCGCCCGGCTACGTCGCTGAGCTTCGAAGGAAAAGGTTTCGCCGGAGGGGGAGGCGGCAGCGGCGGCGATGGCCGCGGGGTCGGCCCGCCCGCCTTTGCTGCTGGTGCTGTGGGATGTCGGTCATCTGCCACCACTCGCCAGCGACAAGGTTGCCGGGTCCATGGACGCAGACTTGCTGGAAATTGAAGAGGTGCTCGGCGTGCGTTACTGCGATCCGAGCCAGATGACTGCGGTGGCGCTGAGGAACCCTGTCGATGAAGACGACGACCGCTTGGAGTACCTCGTCTCTGGTTCGGCAGGTCCCGACGACCGTGGCTTCCATTCTGTCGCCTGGTTTTTTCACGGCGACTTGCTGGACCATTCAGGTGCGGACACGGTCAAGGCAGCGATACAAGAGTATTAGAACTGGATAAGGAATTCACGGCGCTGGCGGAGGCGTGTGACGAGGCTGATGCTGAGTAGCCGCACCAGCGCTGCTCAGCGGCAGTGTGCGCCGACCAGGGGCAGGGCCAGTGGTAGACAGTGGACAGGCTGCTCTCTGAGCGATGACACTAGCAGGAGCATCATGAGTGTCCTCGGAGTCACCTGTATTACGATATCACCACGCCGCCACGCTCGCAAGGGCCGCCTAAGCGCCTAAGCACCCTAAGCACCCCCCCGCTTAGGCCGCTTAGGCGCTTAGGCGAGTGACGGCCGACTCCCCGGGGCCTGGCGTGCCTCCGCCATGGGCTGAGCGCCTGGGAGAGCCACTCAGCAAGTGGTGTGCGAGCGTGTAGCCATTAGCGTGCAGTCGGCCGTTAGGTGCCAGTGCGCGCCAGTCCCGTGCCCAGTGTTGTGCGAGGGAGCGGGCTTTAAAATTCTTTTTCCAGGTCAACGCGGCGTCCCGTCCCCGCGCCCGTCCGCCCGCGTCCCGTCCCGTCTCCCGCGTCTCCCCGCGCCGTCTCCCCGCGAGCAGAAATTTCCGATGTCGACTCTCTCGCCGTCGCTCGACTCGACGGCCTCGCCGATGGCTCCGCCGTCGGCTCTCTCGCCGTCGCTCGACTCGCCGACGGCTCTCTCGCCGTCGCTCGACTCGCTCTGCACGCCGCCGCAAGCGCGTCGCGCGCCCCCGCTGTCGCTCCTCAGCTCACGCCCGCCCACAAATCCGACCGACGATTCGGCGCTCCTCAGCTCGGTCGCGCGCCAACGTCTCTCTTCGGAAAGTGATACCGAGGTCTCCGTCGCCGATGCCGGGACAGTGCATCGCTGCAAGGTCGACTCTGCAAACCCAGCCCCGCCAACGGCCCTTGGAGCCGGAAGTGGGGATCAACCACGGTCGAGCGGCAGCTGGGAGCCGCCCCACCCGGCGCCTTCCCTCTCCTGCCTCTTTGCCAGAGCACGCGGAGGAGGAGTTCCGTCCCAGTCGCTGCGCGGGCTGGCAGAGGAGCACCATGCTGCGTGCGGGAGCGCCACAGCAGCTCATCAGCCGAACCCTGCGAAGCCACAGCAGCGACGCCGCAGCGCTTCCTTGGAAATGCGCAGGCTCGCCGACTTCAACCTCCCGCCTCCGTCTGCTGAGATGCGCAGGCTCGCGGACCACAACCAGCGGCGCGGCAGGCGGGAGAGTGTGTGAGGCACAGAACAATGGCACTTGGTCTCGCGGCTGCGCGGCGGCCCCTGCGGATTCAAACCCCCCTTCACCTCCATCTTTTGCGAGACGCGACCTGCAAGTCCTCTGCGGGGAACCGACGCAGCGATGAGACGCTCGCGAACATCTAGAATCATGTGCATGTGCGATGCGGTGTTGGGAGCAGATCAGCAGAGAGCTGGAACCATGGTCCATGCATGGTGTGCATTTTGTGCGCGTGCGTGGGTCGGAGGGTGCGGACTGGGGCACGCACTGGGACTGTGGGGGGCAGGCTGAGCCTGTGAGGTGGGTGCACACAGGCCGCTCAAGCGTTTGCTGGTGGGCACATGAAGAACACTTTCGCGATTACATAGATTTCAGCCCAGTCTCCTTTTGCGCGGCCGCAGCTACGGCTTCCTCCGCCCCCCGGCTGCCCGCCTCTCCATGATGTGGGCGGCGGCCGCGAGCCTTCGATGCTCGAGGTACTCGCGCGCGCGCAGCGCCTGCTCCACGCGCTCCTCGCGACGATTATTCGTCCGCGAGCGCGCCGCCCTCCGCGTGAGGATCGAGATCGCTGCGTCACCGGAGTCGTGCGTGCCCACGAGCGCGCCAGCCCTCACCGACAGATACGCGCCGGTGCCCACCCCGCGGAGCTGGACAGCCCGCCCAGCCGACCCTGCCGCGGCAGACACCTGAAACTGCGCCCACCGGCCGCTGCCGCCGAGCGTGTCGACCGTGAGTAGCCGGGCGCCTCCCGGCCCCAGCGCCCACTGCAGCCGCAGGTGCCCGCCCCGCCCCTGCGGCCTCTCTACCGGCCGCAATCGCACACAGCCGTCGGGCCGCCTGAAGGTGAGAGCGTCAAATGAGGTGTGCGTATAGTGGTGGAGGTGCTTGGCTGCCCCTGGCAAACGTCCACGTCCTGGGCTGTGGCCCCGCGCCCACCCTAAGTGCGAGGCCCGGTGCGCGTGGATGGTGCCTGGCGACGAGGAAGCGTCTTCCCAAGTCCACGAACTCAACCACGCTGCCGTCTTCAAAGGCTCTCACGCCAACCAAGAGTGCGGCGGATGACTGACCGCCCTCCTGCCTTTCGCCCGCCTCGCCTCCGTGTCTAGCCCTTTCCTCGCCTCCTCCCTCCTGGTCGCCCAGCTTCTCCCGCACCTCCTCGTCTGCCTCTTCACCGGCCTCTTCGCCTACCTCCTCATCCTCAACATCCTCCTCGCCCCCCTTCGCCCGGCCGAAAGCTCCCCAGCCACCGCCCGCCGCCCCCGCCGCCCCCTGCTCGCTCACCGCAGTCAGCTGCCTTGTCACCTCCGGTGGCAACGGTGCAGAAGGGCAGCGCATGGCCGGAAGCCCCGCCCACCGCTCCCCCGGCGGCACAGCCTCCCCTTTGAGCACCTGCGAGTTGTCGAGAAGCATGGCTCCGCGGCCGAGAACGCAGCCCGGCATGAGCATTGAGTGGGGACAGACAGCGGCGCCCTCTTCGAGCACGGTCGGGGCGAGCTTGATGACCATGTTCTCGACCTACGGAAGCAGCCTCCCCGTGAGTCTCCAAGATGGGCGAGACCATGATGACCATTTGGGCCGACCGTGTGGCATGTAGTGTCGCATTCCCAGCCCACGGCTACGCGGTCGCCGAGGGTGAGGAGGTCATACTCCAAAGCCAGTCCAAACAGGCAACAATCCTTGCCGACCCTCGCCCCCATCAAGCGGTAGTAGATCGCCATCCAAGCGGTGCCGCCGAGCGAGTCGATCACGTCCTCCGCCGCGCCGGCGAGCAGCATCATCACCATCCACTTCACGTGGTACTCGCCGAAGAAGGGGTAGTCCCCTTCGGAATACCGGCCGACTATGGCCCACTTGAGCGCTACGTGCAGCATCAACCCGGCAACGCTGGAGAGGAAGCAGAGGACAGGTAGCAGAAGCAGAAGCAGCGCCACGCGGGCGGCCGACGCGGGCCACCACTGCACGCCACCCTCCCCCCCATCCGGGCACTCGTCGGCGAGGGCGAGGCCGAGCCAAGGCGATCCTCCGGCCGCCTCGTAGGCGCTTGAGGCCACGACGGCCGCTGCGAGCGCCTCGTACAGCGGCCACGGCTCGAGCAGAGCTGCGGAGAAGACGACCAGCAGATTGAAGCCCCAAAAGTAGCCCGCATCGTTCAGGCGGCGAAGCGCCTCCCACTCCCCCGCCTGCTGCTCTGATGACGCCGCCTAGTAGGCCGGCCGGGAGTTGGAAGTGCATCTCGGCCAGATCTCGTCTGGGTCTCGGCTAGTTATCGCCTGAAAGCGCAATCTGACCGGTCTGCCCCCGACCGCACCGGTCGAGATTGACTCTGGCGCGAAGCATGCCCCTCGCGGCGCAATGGTGGTGGAGCCAAGCACGGCCCTCTCCCCAACGGTCACGCCTGGCTGTACGCAGCAGTGATCGAGCAAGTTGGCGCCGCGCCGCAGTCTGATCGGCTCGCGCGCGCCCTCCGCACCGCTGCAGTGCATCGAAATGGCGGAGCCGAGGACGCAATCGTCCTCAATCGCCACGCAATCGTGCTCCACGATGTGGAAATTGTCGACCTGAACGCGGCGGCCGACGTGGACGCCGAGGGATCGGTACATGCACGAGAGAACCTCCGTCCCGACAAAAGGGTCGAGCGCGTCGTCAAAAGCGCCGCTCCCGACCGTCTGCGCGTGCAGCCACGTCAACAGAGAATCGGCGTGCCAGCGCCACGAGCCTTGCTCGGCGCCGCCGCTGCGCGGGGCAAGCTTTCCGACGATCAGCTTCTTCTGAAGGAGCGCGGCGAGGAAGAAGCCAGCCGAGTAGCCGTGCGAGAGCAAAATTGGTGCCGTCGCCCAGAAGCCCCAACGGGGGAGGGCGGTCCAGAGGCACTCGAGGGCGAGCACCACTGGCAGGAGGGGCAGCGAGTGCAGCTCGAGCAGCCACGGCACACCAACAAGCAGCCGCAGCCACGCCTGAGGGGTCGCCGCACTGCGCAGCGAGATGTGCGAGGGCAGCAGCGGCGCGATGGCACCGACCGCGCCGTCCTCGCCAACGGTCGAGGCAAGGGCGGGAACAGCAGCGCCGTCGGGCACAGTGCTGCCCCGCACCAGCATGCAGCGCGCCTCGAGACGGCAGCAGGAGCCAACCTCGACCGGCCCCAGTACGAGGTGTCCGTCGATGATCGCGCTAGTGCCGAAGCGCGCGTGGTGCTCAATCTCAACGTCGTCGCCGATGGAGATTAGGTCGGGTTCGTCCACCTCCGGGTCGTCCATGTCGACCCTGGCGCCGATGCGTGCGCCGAGCGCGCGGTAAAAGGCGGGGAGGAGCGCCGTCCCGCCGAGCAGGTCCGAGAGCCCACCTCGCGTGGCGTGCAGCACCTGGCGCACAAACCACCACCGAAAGTACTCCTCCGACCAGAGAGGGTAGCGCCCGGGCCGCAGCCGCCCCGCCACCGCCCACTTGAGGCCGATGCAGACTGCCGCCTGCAGCGCAAGGAGGGCGGCGCGAAGCAGCGGCAGCGTGACAAAGAGCGTTTCGCGGCCGTAGGCTAGGTAGCACGAGGCGGCGAGCGCAAAGAAGAGGCAGTCCTGCACGGTGTGGCCGAGGAAGTTTGCCGTGACAGCGCCGAGCAGCTGCAAGAGCAAGGAGCGTGGCTGCTCCGAGCACAGCGCAGCTTCGCCGTCGCCCTCCGGCGTCGTCTTCTCGCTTTGCAATTCGCCGGCTGTGATCTGCGGCGAGGCACCACCCTCTGCGCCGTCCGCTGCCGTTGACATGGCAAATCCGAGGCTCTCGGCGAGGATAGCGATGCGAGCGACCGTCGAGTGCGTATACATGGCGGTACTCGGCAGGGCGACGTCGAGCTCCTTGCGCAGAAGCGACGTTGCGCGCCCCGCTAGCAGCGAGTTGCCTCCAAGTAATGGCCAGTCCGCCTCGACGCTGATGGTCGCCTCATCGATGCCAAGCACGCCTGCCCACACGCGCCGAACAACCATCTCGCATGGCCCACGGGGTGCCACAAATTGGGCTGCGTCGGCATCTGCCGCCGCCGGCTCTGGCGGCGGCGGCAGCGAGCGGCGGTCGACTTTGCCGTTGATGTTGCGCGGGAGAGCCTCAAGCACGACGACCTGCGACGGTACCGCGTAGGGAGGGAGCACGCGGGCGCAAGCGGATCGGACGGAGCTTCCGTCGATGGTTGCTGGGGCCACGTAGGCGACGAGGCGCTGTCGAGGCGCCTCGCCGACGACAATGCAGCAAGCGGCGCTGGCGCCGGAGCCGGCGCGGGCAGCTTGCTCGATCTCGCCGAGCTCGATCCGGAAGCCTCGGAGCTTGACCTACAAGAAGCTTCCGGAAGGATTCACGGATGGCTCTTGCTCCTCGCGGTGGAAGAGGCGCCTGACCTGGAAGTCAGTGCGCCCGAGGAATTCGAGCTCGCCACCTTCGCTCCACCGCGCGAGGTCGCCGGTGGCATAGAGGCGGCCCAAGCTCGCGTGGAAGACGAATCGGAGCGCCGTCTGAGAGGGGGAGCCGAGGTAGCCGAGCGCCAGGAAGGGACCACCGAAGAACAGCTCCCCTGGCTCACCGATGCCCGCCAAGCCCCCTGCCACGTTGAGGAGGTAAGTCGCCGCGCCGGCGATAGGCACGCCGATCGGGACGCCGCCCTGCAGCAATCTGCCGGGCTCGCACTTGTGGACGGTCATCTCGCCCTCGGTCGGGCCATACAGGTTGTCGAGCCTCACGCGCGGGCACGCATCAAAGAGCGCGTGGACGAGGTCCGAGGGCAGTGCCTCGCCGCACGTGATCACCTGCCGAAGGTGCGGCAGCAGGACGTCGCCGGCGTCGTCGCCCGCCTCGAGCACCGCATACTCGAGCAGCGCCCGTAGCACCGACGGCACGAGCACGGAGGTGGGAACGCGGTGGACGCACAGCAACCGGTGCAGATACTCGATGTCCTATACGGCATGAGAATGATGCGTGACGAACTGGGAAGCCATGCCCCGCGCTGCAGACTTTTTGTGGACCTTCTCGCCCTCGGGCTTGAGGAGGACCAGAGTACCACCGAAGCTCAGCGTCCAAAAGATCTCCCACTCGCTGAGGCCGAAGGTGTACGAGTGCTTGAGGAGGTGAGGCTCGCCCGCCGCCATACAGTACCGCGCCTGGAACCAGCGAACGCGGTGCACGAGCCCAGCGTGGGGCACGACTACGCCCTTTGGCTTTCCCGTCGAGCCAGAGGTGAAGAAGCAGTACACCGGCGCCGCACCAGAAGCGGGAGAAGCGGTAGCCCCAGGGAGCGTTTGCAGCATCTCACTGACAGCTCCGCTACCGCCATCGCCTCCGTCGCCGCCATCGGCCGCTAATCCTGCACAAAAGTGCCAGAGGCTGACGATGCGAGGGCAGCCCGCGTCGCTCAGGCACGAGGCCAGCACTCCGCTGGAGGCGGCGCCCGCTAAGGGAGCGCACTGCGATACCACCTCCGCGATGCGGTCGGCGGGCCACTTCACATCCAAGGGCACATAGGCAGCGCCCGCCAGCAGGATGCCGTAGATGCCAGTGATCATCTCGAGGCCCCGCGTTGCCAGCAGAGGCACGAGTCCGCCGTTCACGCCGGCCGCGCCACCTCGCACCCCAGCGCGCGCCAGCGTGGCAGCGACGGCCGCGGCGGCTTGCGCGAGCTGTAGGTAGGTCATGCTCCGCTGGTCCTCGACGAGGGCAGCTCGAGTGGGGCAATGCTCCGCTTGCGACAGCATGGCGGTGTGTACGACGCTGTCGAGACATCCATCCCACTCGGTAGCCGTTGCGTCGCTCCATCCCTGTAGCGTCTCGCGCTCTGCTGCGGCTGCAAGGCCTACGCCCGCCGCCAGTTGCTCGCGGTCACGTTGGCAAGCGATCAGCAGCTGCTGCAGGTGGCCGAGCAAGCGCCGCGCCGCCGCCGCGTCGAGTGCCGCGCACGCGTAGTGCAGAGTCAGAGCCAGCCGCCGCGGCTCCGACCACTCACAACAAAGCACCAGAGGAAGGCGCTTCAGCCCCGGCGCCACCTCCCCTGCGGCGAGCCTCCACTCGAACCCAGCCTGCCCCGAAAGGTCGATGCCCTGCGGCAGCGTGCCGCTCCGCTGCCGCGCGGCGCACATCTTGGCGCGGACGGCGGCGCAGAGGCGGCCCAACGTCCAGCTCTCAGAATACGGCAACCGCATTGGCAAGCAAAGTTCGCTGCCTATATACTCGGGCCATCCGTGCTCGGGGACTGTTCTCAACGGCGTCTCCATACCACCTGATGAGGGCCCCGCGCTTGCAACGCTGCAGGCGACAAGATGGCCGTCCTCACGGCTATAGCGACTTAGAAGAGCCACCCACGCCGCGAGGGCCGTGGCCTCCATCTGGAGAATGGGGAAGGTGTCAAATGGAGTCGTGGCGAGAAGGGAGTTGTTGGGAGCTGTGTTGCCTCCTCGCCGCCCGCCGCGTCGGCCGGCAATAGCACCACGGCAGTGGCAGCGCTGCGGTCCTAGGGGCAGGGGCTAGAGCTCACAGGCTACATACTCAGGCGGCGTTATCAATCTGGTGGCTGCGTGGCGTTTGCCCATCGCAACCTCCTTCTCTCGACTAGCTGCGCGCCCTGGCGCGGTACGCCTCAAGCGGGTGCAATCGGCACAGCTTGAGATCGAGTGATGGCGCGTCCCGCAGCTCGCGCTCCCACCACGCAGAGCTGGAGAAAGCTTCGTCGTCCTCCTCTCCCCCCCCCTCCTTTTCAGATTCCTCGTCAACCTTTTGAGGCAGCGTAGGAGGTGCTGCATGAGGTGGTGGCGGCGACGGTGAGGGAGATGCCAACGGCTGCGACTCTGACGGACTCGTTGGCGCTGACGCCTCTGCAGAGCCAGAGACGCTGGCCGACGCCTCGGAGCAGCAGAGCGCATTGCTGCCGGTGGTGCCTGAGAGAGTGCCGTCAGCCGACAGCGCGAGCCACAGGCCGCTTTGCACGCCAAAGAGGCTTAGCTCAACGTCGCCCTCGCCACTGCCGACGGCCTGGCTTGCCCAGAAGCGCGTCGCGGGTCCCTTGCCGCGCGCTTTTACATTGCCGACTCCGTCGAGACGGAGGCGAAGGAAGCCGCCTGCGGCTCTGTGGAAGAAGCAAAGCGTGCCGTCGCCGTTGGCGTGCACCTCAAGTGGCCCACACGTGGCGCCGCCGTCTTCATGGCCAAGGATGATGAGCTTGCCGTGTGACGGGAAGTCTGGCAATGGAAGCCGAAGCTGCGAGCTGACGCCGTCAGCAAATGCTCTGCCTGCGCCCTTGCCGCCACGCTCACCTCTGCCCGCCCTCCCGCTGCCCTTGCCACGCCCGCCGCCCTTGCCACGCCCGCCGCCCTGGCCACGGCCCTTGCTTGCTCTGCGATCCATTGCCAGGCTCGTCGTAGCGCTGCGGGTGGTTGGGGCGGCAATGTCGCAGAGGCGAGGGCGGACGACGCGGACCAAAGTTTCACAGCCTTGATTTTGAGAAGAAAATATCCTATGGCGCTGTGCGCTGGCCTGTGAGAGTTCACAGCCTTGTTATTGAGAAGAATTTAAACAAAACAACTCTCTCTCACAGCACACAGGCTCGACACAGGTGCGAACTGGCGCGTGCTAGTACTATCACCGGCACACTTGTTATTGAGAAGAAAATACGTCCTATGGCGCTGTGCGCTGGTCTGTGAGAGGTTGAGGTGCTTCACACATCACCGCTTCACCCCAGGTTCGACTGTGGGCGTGAAAAGGGCGGCGGTCACACGAGCCCTCTTCTCTTGAGCACTTGAGCATGTATGTATGTATGTAGGAAGGTGAAGAACAGTCAGGCTCGGACTGGACACCAACGCGGTATGGGTGAGCACTTGATAGGGTCGATTCCGCGTGGTACGGCCTCAGTACGGGACCCCTCGATCGTCTCGCCCGCACTTGCTGGTTGGTGTGTTCATTGGGGGGGGTCATAACAAACACGGTCGGTACAGGATCGAGGTGCACGCTGCCAGAGCAGTGTCGTCCCCCGTCTCCCCGACGGCGATGGCGGTGTGACCGATCGAGCTACAAGAGGAGCTTGTTCAGCAGGATCCGGGACAGGTCTGGTGCACTACCTCACTGGGCCTGAGACTACCGAGACAACGCCCGTCACCGTCTCGGGTTTGCGTGGGATCGAACCACTCCGGGATGAGCAAGCTCAATCGTTTTGTTCTGTGTTGTCCCTCGTCTGGGGGGGGGGGGGGGGATCTGCCCCATTTTGGTAAGCGCGGGCAGGGGGGGGGGGGGCCCCAAAATAAAAGAAAGGGGGGGGCCGGGGGCCGGGGGGGCCGGGGGGGGGCTCATCCGGTGAAAAAAGTGGGCATAGTAGCAACTCGGAGACATACTTCACACGGCAGTTACACTCCCCGCTTAGCACGAGTACTATCCTCGGATCCGACCATGTTCCCTCCCTCTGCGCGATTTCTCGCGCTTACTCCTCGGTAACCTCCTCCCATCCCTACCCTCCGCTCCACTCGATGAGCCGCCCTCCCCCGCCCGCCCCTCCCGATCCCCCATCTCCCCAAACACGCCCCCCTCCTCCCCACCCTCCACCCCCACCGCCTCCTCCTCAATCGAGTCCCTCCCCCTCTTCCTCCCCCGTTCCCCGCCGCCCCCCTCCCCCTCCTCGCCCCCGGCCCCCCCTTCTCCGCCCACCCCCTCCCCGTCCCGCGCCCCGAGCCCGGGCGCCTCCTCCCCGCACCCCGCACACAGTACCCCCCCATTCGCGGAGAGCACACCGCTCTCCTCGTGCAGCCCCGGGCTGTCCCGTCCATAGGCGTGCCGGAGGTAGAAGGTCGACAGCACCCCCATGCGGGCCGCCGTCTCCACCGAGTCGGCCCTGGGCCCCCGGGGACCCCTTGGCTTGCCCTTGTCGGAGCGCGGCTTCCTCTTGCTGGTGGCCTCGAGCTGCGCCGCTTCGGCCAGGATCCCCTTCTTCAGCAGATCGCCGTGACAGGACTCAATCCTTCCCGCGCACAGGAGAACAAGATCCGTGCCGTCTCGGACCTTCTGTGCCAGTTCGCGAAGCGCTGCCGACCGTGTCCTCCAGAGTCGATCCCTCTTCTCTACTATATACGAAGGATCTTGCTCCCTCCTGCCAGTAAGCTGTGAGCTGTGAGGGTATATAGGGCAGGGTCAGTCCGAAGTACATGTCCTTGTCGTCGTCGTGCATGAGAGGGGGGGCGGGGGCGCGGGGGATGGCGGGCTAGAGTCGGGTTACTAGTAGTCTCGTTGTGTCTGTATATGCCAGCGTTGCAGGATTCTCACTGCGGACCTGGCCCAACAGCGCCGACGAAACTTAAGACTCAAGTTCTCAGCCCCGCACGCTGACCTAGGGTTGGGGTTAGGGTTTCTTAGGGTTAGGGTTAGGGTTGGGGTTAGGGTTAGGGTTGGGGTTAGTCTTTTTGTGTTTGTATGCCAGCGTTGCAGAGTTCTGCGCTGGGATCTGGCCCCAGCGCCGACGAGTAAGACTCAGCACCGCACGCTGACCCCACCAAATGCCGCCTCAGGGCGCCAGCCACCTCTTACACGCGGCCGGCGCCCTCTTGCGGCAAAAGGGTCGAGCGAGCGGGCAGAGAGTCGCGATGTCTGCGCACCCGCGTGCCGATGGGCGGCACACGCAACCGAGAGAGGCCCTGTCACGCCGCCAGTAGCGTTCTCCGCACTCCCCAGCCACGCCACCAAATGCCGCCTCAAATGGCGCCAGCCACCTCTTACACGCGGCCGGCGCCCTCTCGCGGCAAAAGGGTCGAGTCACGCCGCTGCTCATCGCGTGCATCCAGGGCCACCTCGAGGTCGCCAAGCTCCTCTCCTCCTACGGCGCCTCGCGTGCCGCAGTGCCGTCCCGCGGCACGCCCGAGGAGATCGCGAACCGCCGAGGCCACGCCGACCTCGCCGCTTGGCTGGTCGCCAGCCGCGGCTGGACGCCGCTCGCGCACCTGGAGAGCCTCACCGCCGCCCGCGCCACCTCCCTCCTGCGCGGCGGCGCAAGCTTGCACGAGGGCGAGCCGACGCCGCTGCAGCGCGCCGCGGGCGGGGAGGGCGAGGCGGCGGCGCTGATCCGGCGGGCGGCGGCGCCGTGGTCGCCGGCAAGCCACTCGCTCTTCCCCGCGGCGGCGCGCGAGTACGCGGTAACGGTCATGCGCATCGGCTACCAGATCGCGCTCTCTCCGCCCGACGACGCCGAGGCGCGCCCGGACTGGAGCGCGCTGTCCGACATGTGGCGCGAGCACGTGCTGCCACACGCGGTGGCGCGCTGAGGCCGAGTGAGGACGCGAGTGCCACGCGGCGGCGCTGATCCGGCGGGCGGCGGAGGCGGAGGCGGCGGAGGCGGAGGGGCAGGCAGCGTCGGAGCGCGAGGCGCTGGCCGCGCTGCAGCGCCTCGTGAGCGCGGACAGCGCCGCGGCGTTGCGAATCGCGATCGACGACGCCACGCCACACGCGGGCGCGATCGACGCCTTGGAGGAGGAGCTATCGGCGCTCGGCGCTTCGCCTCGCAGCGCTTGAGGTTGCCGAGGCGCCGGCGGCCGCTGCT